TAGCAAGCTTTGCAATTAGGTTTGGACAAAAAAAATCGAAAAATCGATCAAACCGAATCGACTCGGATCAGTTTGGATCGGTTTGACATAAGCAATTGGTTTGGATTGGTTTGGTTATCTTTTAAATAAAATCATTGTGGTTTGGTTCAGTAGTGGTTTAAAGCATCATAGCGCTGGTTAATGGAATCAACTCAATTCACTTTCATATTTACCATTTTTTAAGAAAAATAAAAATCAAAAGACAAACCATAATCTCATAATTATATCACGATTCCCTTCAATTTATGATATTGCCCGTAAATAATAGTATTGAAAATCTCCTTTCACAAGCTCGTTATATTATACTTATTTTTTTTTCCTACTCAAACAGTTAAGCTACATAATGTATAAAAATGCAACAAAATTCTTAAGTTTTCTGCTTATTTGTCTCTAGTAACCCGATTTTATTTGTTAGTTAATAATTTTGTAATATAATTTGTTTTTGTAGTCTAATTGAGCCCAAAATTTGGACAATTTTTTTTTTAAAAATCAATTTGGAGTAAAAGCTCAAATAAACAAATCAAACCGAATCAAACCGATTTGATTTGATTCGGTTTGATTTATGAGTTAGTGTGGGTAGGTTTGGGTTGAAATTCTCCCAAACTGACTAATTTGATTTTGATTTTAGGTTGGAATAGAAATCAACCCAAACCAAATTGCACCTAAGTCTATTTGCAATATTTGGAAGTTTTTGTGGGGGAGGATGATGCAGAATTCAAAGAAATATTCAATATGATACTTAATTAGAATGCCTATTTGTTGAATATATGTACTATGAATCTAGGTGTGGCCCCCTTGACAAATTATGCACTTGTTTGGCCCCATTCTTTTTTCCTTTTTCCGTCTTATTTTCAACCACACAATCTTTCAAAAAATAAAAAAAAAACACTATTTCAAACATTAAAACTTGGAAAAAAGAAAAATGAGGGCCAAACAGGGGCCATAAGTATATTGCTTCTCTAAGCATCACAAATTTAAAATCAATTTTCTTTCTTTCCCCAAGATTTTGTAATCAAAATGTGAAAATTACTGAAAAAGATTGATTCTTAATTCAATTATTAGCTTATAGCTTAAGCTTGGAAAATGGATATATTGATGTCTATTGTTGTGCTAGCAAGGATGGTTATGGACCATATAAATAGACAGATTAGTTGCAATTATGTATTGAGTTATGTTAGTTTTGACTCGAAATTATCATTTTTCTTATTTTAGGTGACTGTCTAGCACGAAAATTAGTAATGAAATAAATAGAGTGACGAAACAAACTTAGTGTAATTGATCTAAAATTTATTGTTACCATTACTATGATATCATCTTTATATTAAATTCAATAAGGGAAAATAAAACTATCATGTTGTCCAATACTCATCGACCTCGATTTGATCATTATTCATTGAGTCCAATCTACATTTTTCATTTTGTGGACGAACAAAGGTAAGTGACCATGTTCGGTTCAAGCAAACTCTCCAATATTGTACAAGCTTTTATAAATAAAATGTAACTAATTATTGAACATTAACAAACTATTACAAGGACAATTTTCATCGTTAGTTTGTAAAAGAAACAAATGTTTAATGTCTAATTCAATAAATGAATTATTATTTTAACCAAATAAGAAATGTTTGATCAAGCACTTACCAATCAATTTCGTTATGTTCATAAAAATTTGTTAAAATTAAACAACTAATTAAGTTTTTTCGATGCACACAGAGGGAAAAAAAATATATAAATAAGGGTTTTTTTTTTTTTTTTTTTAATGCATGGATGTGATAATAAAGTTATATTGGAGTCCAACATCGATGAAGCTAGTCGAGATTTTTTTGGACTTAATATTTCTAACCTGCTTAAAAATTCTTTCTAGAACACTATCATGTAAATGATTTGTGTCAAATTTTTAATTTTTATAATTTTATGCCATTTCATTTTAATTTTGAGAAATTTATAAAATTGATTTCATATAATTTGTTGTATTTACATATTTGTACTTTATAAATTTATATTATACACACTATATTTTAGAGTATGGTAAGGGAAAAAAAAAACTTTTGCTAAGGATTAATTTGGTATTGTAGCGCTTTTAAAATAATCACTTTTTGATGTGTATGTTGTGTATTTCTAAATCAACATTCTACCGTTTGACAAGCAAAAGTAATTTATTGGTGTGTCGGTATACAATCTCTAAAATGGATAATAATTATAACGATATCCTTTTGTATAGTTGCATTCGTTAATAATATTATAAAATTTACCTTTAGTTATTATAAGAACATGTAATAATATCATATGTTACCTTTAATACATTGGACTTGTAGGAATTTGGTTTCTCTATTTTATTTTTTGGATTATTTATAAACCTAGGATAGAAAATTAATAAATTTAATTAATTGGAGTAAAATTTGAATTTATAATTGGAGAGTTAAAAGCAAAATTTCAAAAGTTACACTTTTGTTGGTTCTAAAAATACGACTTTAGATGTTACATATTTTTCTAAAACAACTTCTGATTATTTGAGAATCTTATATTGAACCCGAAAATCAATCCCAAACAAGACATAAAGAATTGACAAATATGACATGATAAAGTAACAAAATAAGACGATTTGTATTATAATACGAAACACTTTACATACCAAACTTTTAACTCTTGTGTTTATTTCCCAAAAGTTTAATTAGTAATTAATCTTCATCTAACAATTTAACTTTCTTTATTTGAAAGTTAAGAAAAAATCTCACACAGAAATTATCATCTTTCAAAGGAAAAAATATGTAATGAGAAATTAAATAATTAGAAAATAGTATACAAGACGTAACATTAGATAATTTACATGATGTGATTTGTTATTTCGATTAATGATGTGTTTGTCCGTTATATTATTTACAGTGGTATGTTTGCAAATTTTTCTATTTTTTATTGGCAGTGCGTGCTTTATTGTAGCCATTATAAAATACGACATAAAAAGTAGAGTAATGATATTTGATTCACCAATTAAATGGTGTGCTATGTCATCGGTGTTTAACATAAGATAAATACCGATGTTTAGGAGATCATTTTCGATATAAAGTATATGTAAATTTCTCTTTATTTTACAAATTAATTATCTTGTAAGAAGTAAAAAATCACATATTGGCGGTGTTCCATCCAATCCCAATTTGTCAATATGGGCCTATTTTGATTCATGGGGCCTTCTAATTTTGGAGAGAAAATATTAAAATTTTGGGCAGAGTGACGGCTTTGGTCTTCCACCAAATAGCTTCACTTTGCCTAATATGGCCCAAACGGTACACGCAGATACCATACTATAGGGGAAGGTTGAAGGTTCTCTTTCGTCGATGAATATGAAAAAGTTGACTAGTCATAATAAGGAAAAATGTCTAAAATGGCATAAATAAAAATCCTTTTGCAGCAATGTCCATATTAATATGCTGCGATTATAATCGAGATTTCACGTACTATCGTGAAATGTGTATGTAGTTCAAGGTGTATACATAGATTAGCTTATTTAAGAAGTCGTCTTCCTTGATTCACAATTGAAACTTCGATCACTAAAGAACACTAATTTACTTCACGCTGCAATCGCATATTCCAACCAACTTGTAATGTCCTTTATCTTGCAAGCTTATGGATCAATATACGTTTGGGAAGCTAAACAATTTTCGAGGTAATGAAATTTATTTTTACTTACATCTCCGATTAGTTAAATGTCAAAGAAGAATAAGTTTTATCCTTTAGGTTGTCGATCGAATATAAGTGCATGTGAGTTTTATAACGAATGACAAGATTTTTAGTGTGTTGTATGTCATTTGATGAGTTATTACAAGAAACGGTTATATAAAAATTCATCAACATAATCATTTTTGCAATAGACGTTCTAATTTGATCTTTATTTGAAATCGAAATGCTCGAGTTTGTTATTGTCTCAAACTATGCAACAACCAAACATTTTTAGATATAATAGACTGAGTTATTTAACAAATTCGCCTCTCCCTTTCTAAGGAAATTCACTAATGGAAAATGTCTTAGACCACTATCTTCTACTTTTAGAAGCTTGTAATTCTCATTTCCAAGGTGAAGCCCAAAGGGATCACGAAGTGATCTATATTATTTTGTGTTTTTAGGGAAGTATTTGTCAAAATACAATAACAATTGAAGTCTTGTCTTAGTAGAGGCGTGTTAGAACATATGGAATCGGATTTTGAAATTTATCTACATGACAAAGCTTCGTCAATAGAAAATGAAAATCGGAATAGCGATGAAGGCTATTTTTAAAAAGTGCTAAAATCTGTGCTTTAGTTATTTTTGAATGAATGAATATAATGTGCATTCAATAAATCTGAAATATTGAAAGTTCGTCATACCAATATCAACAGTTCAAAGGTTTTGTCCAGTTCTCTGGGAAAGTATCTGTGAATCCTACGAAATGTGTGATTAAAATTAAATTCTGACTTTAAAAAGTTATTTTTTTGTTCTTTTTTTAAATGAAACACAAACAAGTCAATATTTTCGACAAGAAATGAACATTATTAGTAGTTAATTTTCAATAGTCGATACTCTCTCTACATGAACAATGAATATTGAATTTGAGTTCTCCGTTTGTTCACGCTTGATCGTATCAATGTTAGAAATTTATCTTCTATCAATTTAAATTTAGATAAAACGGCTTAATATGATAACAAAATGAGGCTAAAAACTCCATTTTAAATCTATGTAATCTTTATTTTAATAAAGAGCGTCTCTGTTTGATCCCATTGGGAGAAATAAATTTTGTAATACTTATTATTATTATATTTTTAAGGACGCGTGGTCAAAAGGTAGAATTTTTTACTTTAAATTTATATGTAAAATTATTTTATTGAAATATTGTATGATATGAAATGAATTTGAGGAAAAATTAAATTTTGAGGGACGTCGACAGAATTATTATGGAAGGTAAAATGACGAGAGAGCCTCAAGTCTTTCTTCTTTTTCATCTCTTGAATTGGATCAGTCGAAAAATATTTAAATACTCCCCCATTTTCGTACTTCGTTGGAGAAAAGGACTCCAAAAATTCCAAAAGCAAATCGGAGAGCCCAAAAATTTTAGGGTTTTTCTAATTTCAAAATCATCGAATCTCAGGTTCAATCCATCTTCTCCTTTTCGGAATTTCTCTCTCTTTTTTTATGTTTTAAATATTATTCCCAAATCTGACTTGCAGCCGAAGAAATTAATCGAAACCTAGCTTTCTCATTGTTCCAGAACAAATCTTATCTCAGTCGCCTTTTCATATCAATTCCAGGTAAAATTTTCATATATCCAGTCGCCTTTTAACAAATCTTACTCTTTTGCTTCTATTATGCTATTTATATTTTTGAAGAAAATGGTCTTCCCGGTTTTTATATCAATAATTTTTATTTCGGTTATTTTTACGTTAATTTCTCAGATTTTTGCAAAGATGACTCAAGATATTGAGATGAAAGAGCAACAACCAGCACTCTCTAACTCACTCTCCACCACTGCTCCCTCAACTTTTCAGAGTAAGTATACTCACATACCTGTATGAATATGCATATTGTTATTTTTATTTTTATTTTTATTTGTATGCTGTGTTTATTTATGGGAGGCACTTTTTTTTTTTTTTTTTTTTTTTTTTTTTAAATTAAGATTTGAAGGAGATAGCGGCATTGATTGAGGTGGGAGCATATGCCCGCGAGGTGCGGAGGATTGTGAGGGCAATTCGGTGGACGATCCAGTTGAGGAGAAAGCTAAAGGCATCTGTCCTTTCTGCATTTCTCAATCATGTTCTTGTCCCTGGATCTGAGTTACAGTCTCGCTTGTATTCTCACCTTCCCAAGGTAAGAAGGTTATTTTTTCGCTAGGATCAGTTTATTATCAGTGGAAATGTAGTCTATGAATTGATTGTTCATAAATGGTAGCCTAATCTGTGTTCATTAATAAGTTATTCATCATATATGAATTCACCGTATGATCTATTTTATCGCTTTGTTACATTGTAGAGGAGATAATGGTCACTATATTGTATTGCGCATTCCATCACATTTATAAATTTATATGGTGTGTTACTGTACTATTTTAGGCTTTAATTGGAAATGATAATACCGGCACGTACACTTGCTAACTCGTATAGTTTGTTGTCGTGTGTGCTCATGTGGATTATATCGTTAATATGGTGCTGGAAAAATAGTAGGGTAAGTAAATCTAGGATTGCATTTCATGGAGAAATTTCTGTTTTTTTATCACGAGATAATAACATGGAGCAATGGTTGATGTGTGAGAATGATATGGTAAGGAGATATGATTGCCCTGTTTTACCAGATTTAGTGTTTCTTGCAGGAGGATGAGCAGGATATGGAACTGGATACCGCAACATCTGCAACTCAAGCTCCTGCAAAACACCCTTTACCAGAACTTGAAGTCTATTGCTGTTTGCTTGTTCTAATATTTCTGATTGATCAGAAGAGATACAGCGAGGTATAGAAATATGATTAGTACTGGCATGAACTTTCTAATGATATTTGAATTGCTACAAATTATCTTTCTGTTTTCATTGTTTCCTTCAGGCCAAGGCCTGTTCTTCGGCAAGCATTGCTCGTCTAAAGAACCTGAATAGGCGAACTGTTGATGTTCTAGCATCCAGGATCTACTTTTACTACTCTCTAAGCTATGAACTTACTGGTGATCTTGCTGAAATTCGGGGGTATGTTATATACATGTATTCTGTTGGCTCTTTCTTTGACAACTAAGCGTGAGAACAAAGCATGCTAATATAATGTTCTAAACAAACATGAGCAGACGGTGCAAGTGAAGTTGAATGTTGTTTTCCCCATGTTTAGCAATATATTATTGGTTTTCTCTTTTATGGTCTTTACATCTAATGGAGACTCATTTATGAACAGTAATCTGCTGGCATTACACCGGACAGCAACATTGCGCCACGATGAGTTGGGACAGGTTTGTCGCTGATCACACATGCAATTCGTTTGTATTTATGGTGGACATATTCTCATGCTTGAAAATGGTCAACTACAGGAAACACTTCTCAATCTGTTACTGAGGAATTACCTGTGTTACAACTTATACGATCAAGCTGAAAAGCTCAGATCAAAGGCTCCGCGGTTTGAAGCTCACTCTAATCAGCAGGTAATTCTCAGTAATCAGTAAAATACTTGGTTAATTTTATGCACATTAATTCATTCTTTTTTGGCTTTTTACCCCTTCTTTTTGTTTGAGAGTTGGCTATGGGGTTGGGGAGAATGCACGCATATGATTCCACGCTATTAATTTCCTATTATTTTTGCGACTCCCTTTTTTGGGGATTGGGATGTCTTCTTCTATTCCAAGTTCATTTGGTATTTTGGTTTGACCTTCTAATTGAGTCGTCAGTTAAACGTGAACATTAGATGGTGTTTGTAATGTTAAAACAAAGAGAAAACAGGTGACAAAAATATTAATATTGTGTTTATGTACAAAAAGGAAAATTGTCGTCTTCTATGTAAGAACCAGAACTATATATCTTACCCAGTCATATAATGGCAGGGTCAAGCATCAGTTTCATGTGAACTTTTAGCCCATATTTGACAACCATTATTTTGGGAAAAAGGAGTTTTGAATAGTGATTTTTAGGAAAATGTGGTTAAAAATTAGGGAAAATTTTGAGTTTACGTGCAGAATATTTATTGTGTAAATGTGTGGTTAAAAATGAGTGTAGATAAAAGAATTTGAAAATAATGGTTGTCAAACAAGGGCTTAGCATGTATCTACAGCTGGTGCCGAACTTGTAAAATGTTAGTGGATGCAATAATCTACATGAAATATCAAAAGGAAAATTGTCTTAGCCAGTCATAGAGATAGTGGCGGGATAAAACATCAGTTTCAAGTGAACTTTTAAAATATATCTACCGCTGGTGCCAAATTTGTAAAATGTTACCACCCATACTGAGCATAGTATATGCAATAATCTACATGAAATACACAAGGTGGTTGTTGATGCAGTTGCATAACTATTTACATGAACAACAACTGTACTTCCATTCCATGAAGTTGTTTAGATTTCCAATCGTTGACTTAGTAATAGAATTACCTCTCTTTTTACTGCTGCTCTTGCTACTATCAGCACAAAAATGATCTTTTGTGTTTTATTGTTCAAGTTTTGTGTTGTAATTTTATTATTTTCATCTGCATCATTCTTGTTTCTCTGGTGAGGCTAGACCAATAATTTGCATACTGAGACGTTTTATTTTTTATTGCTGTCGGATTGTTCTCGCCATGGCTTGTACTCTTTCCAGTTTTGCCGGTACCTCTTTTACCTTGGAAAAATTAGGACAATTCAGTTGGAATATACTGATGCTAAAGAGTCCCTCCTCCAAGCCGCCAGGAAAGCACCTGATGCTGCTCTTGGATTCAGAGTCATATGCAACAAATGGGCTGTAATTGTCAGATTATTGCTTGGAGAGATTCCTGAAAGAACTATTTTTATGCAGAAAGGAATGGAAAAAGCTTTGAGGCCATACTTCGAACTTACAAATGTATGTATGTCTTAAAACTGAAAAAGTTTCCTTACCATCTCAGGAATTCTAGATTTAATAATAACACTTACTTTCTTGTGTTTGATGCAAACCTTGGGCATATTTTTGCCTTTCTTCAAAAACTTGCCTCTATGATGAATGCTTCTACCATCTTATCCTAGAAAAGATCATGTATATTGACTTTGCTACTGGATAATATTTTCTTAATGAAAGCAATTTGTTATATTCTATGCTTATGCAATTGTTTTGTTCATGTGGGTTTTCAGGCTGTTCGAGTTGGAGACTTGGAATTGTTCAAAAAAGTTGCCGATAAGTTCTCCAATACATTCAGCTCAGACCGGACTGACAATTTAATTGTTAGGCTGCGTCATAATGTCATTAGGACTGGGCTCCGCAACATCAGTATCTCATACTCCCGGATCTCTCTAGCTGATGTGGCAAAAAAGCTGAGATTGGATTCTCCAAACCCCATAGCTGATGCTGAGAGTATTGTAGCCAAAGCAATTCGAGATGGTGCAATTGACGCCACATTAGATCATGCTAATGGATGGATGGTGTCAAAGGAGACGGGGGATATCTACTCTACGAATGAGCCTCAGGTTGCTTTCAACTCGAGGATTGCTTTCTGCCTGAATATGCATAACGATGCAGTGCGTGCCCTTCGATTTCCACCTAATTCCGACAAAGAAAAGGAAAGTGCTGAGAAGAGAAGAGAGAGACAACAGCAAGAGCAAGAGCTTGCCAAGCATATAGCTGAGGATGACGACGACGACTTTTGATGATTATTGGCACTTGATTGCGCACCTTACTATCAAATTTCCTTGCAAGGATGTTTAAATTTTCTGAGACTGCGACTTTGTGTTCCATTGTTCATTTAAGTCCAATTATTTGTTTAACCATTTTGTATTAATTGTGGAATCATGCCCTCTTGATTTGTTTTCCTCTAAAAAAGTCTACTTTCTGAACTTGCTGAGTTTCAGTTGAATTATTCTTGCTGTCTTTGAGTGATCCCACGAGTAGTTACTTGATGAGGCTGCTCAGCTGCATGTATAAAAAGTTAACAAGTTTAACAGTTGTTCTGCACGCCCAGGCTCAGAGCCAGGGCTAAATACAAGGGGGGCCAAGTGGCGCCGCCCTATGAATTTCAGCCCCCCTTCCAATAGGGCAGCGCCACTTGGCCACCCTTGTATTTAGCCCTGGCTTTGAGCCTGGGCAAGAAGTATTTTTCCAAGTTTAACACTCCACAGAATACCCCCAACCCCAGGAGACGAGTAAGGATCGATTTTTATGCAAAAATTAGTTCAATACACAAGAAATTGAATGGTCTTTACCAGGGATATGATATCATTTTTCATTTCAAAACATGGTAAATTCTACGAACTCTTTTCATCGCGTGAAGTCAGATGTCCATTCAATGAGATTCAACAGATGAGCTACAGTAGCTCTAAAATCCAGTTACTACTATAGGTACACAGGTTACAAGGGAAGGAAGCAAAATGAAAATCTTCAAACAGTGTATAAGCAACAATGTTTCAGTATTCAGCCAGCTGAATTCAATCCGAAGGACTTGACAATTGTGCTGACTCTTTCAGCAAAAGTTCGGGAAGTTATTTTCTTGCCTGGAACATGAAATGGATTTGAAACTGCATCGACGTAAGCAGCATGGAACCGCCTGAAAAACTATAATAACCAAGAAAATAGGAGGAAAGTTAGCTGCCAAATTATAAAAACTGGAGTTTATCCATGACATGCATAAAATAGCAACTCAAACTATTATACAAAACATTATGTACTTCATAACTAACATTTATGTCCTTGGGATCAGATTTCACTACAAAACTTTGAAAGTAATGCAATATTGCCCAAGCAATGAGGGCACTGTTTAAAAAATTTCAGACCTACTAGATTTCAGTGAAAGCAAGAAAAACACTTAAGTGAGTGCCTGTGATTAATGCATCTGCTTTTCCGTATATTTTGTAGCACTGTTACAAAATCAAATGAAAGAAAGGGATCGAAGCAGAAATTAAGCCCAGGAATTTTCAGAGGACTCTTCATGTGGTATATTAGAACCTCAATATACCCACTATCTGCTAATATGGGTTAAATTAGAAAGTGATAATGTCGAAAAGAGAAGTAAATTCATCACTGCTTTGAAATGCTTACATTTCTCACATCTGCATCTCGGACGTCCAGATCTGTTGTCACCATTATGAACTTCACCTTGGTGTTAGTCAAATAACCATACCTGAAAACAAGCAGACAATGAGAGCCGAGGGCATTTGCAAGTAGAAAGATGAAATTAACACCCTCACAATATTTTCACCCTCAATAATGATAACGTATGAGTTTCGTCCTATACTTCTGTCCTCTCTAATCCAATTTTCATCTGTAAACTTCATAGGGAATTAAGCATAGGAGTATACTTACACTTTGTAGTTTTCTGTTGGATAGAGCAAACCAAGAAATGTTTCACTGAGTGTCGGGGCAGACTTTTTTGGATTGTTCACTGAATAAATAACATGCAGAGTAAAATAAAGAAGGAGAAAAGAAAAGGTAACAGTTGATTTCCAGAAAAATATATTAAGCAAGTTTTACAAATCGACCGTTGATAAATTAGAGCATTTAACACATTCCAATCACCATTTGAGCTCTGATTTAAAACAGTTGGAGCCATTTATCCTGATTAGATATCGTATATTCTACCAAATTACCACAGCTGGACTCATTTAAATCACTTTCACTTATTTGATAATTGATGGACATTTGTATTCTACTCTAGGTTTGGAAACCACATTCCCATTCATTAATTGTTCTCATTGACTACCAATAAGTACAGTCCTCATTTCAATTGGAATATGAATAATGTGTTAAAAGCATACTGAGTAGAACTCTCTCATAAAACAGGTTTGTAAGCAGATGGTTTTCCAATAAACATAAAACCATTAACTGAGTCTTATCTTAGCAATGTGGGACTCAATTAAAGTCATTACATTCCGTCCTTCACTATGGAACCTATATTTACAGCGTCAATATTCCCAGCTAGGTGATTTAATGGAACTGATCCTATACCAGATGTAGCTTCCTTTCGCCCTGTTCGCAACCAGAGTCATCCACCATAAAGGTGTTTGCTCTCATGCTAGTTGTTGCTAACACAGGAAGCCCCTATTTGACAACCATTAAAATGAGTTTTTTGGGAAAAATAAATTTTGGAATAGTGATTTTTTTGAAAAATGTGTGGTTAAAAATTATGAAAAAGTTTTGAGTTTACGTGCAAAATATTTTATTGTGAGAATGTGTGGTTGAAAATGAGTTAAAAAGAGTTTTGTTTTAATGGTTGTCAAACATGGGCTAAATAGAACTCACTCATATAATGGCTTCTGAGTAGAGCTTTTTCAAGTAGTTATAAGCATGAATCAAGCTTTATAGTGATGACTTAATTAGATTCAATTATGTGATCTTGGATCGTAATCAATCTTAGGGTGCCAACACAATGTATATATTACAGATCTTAGTACTAAAAAAAAACTCTCCATTTTTCTTAGAACTAAATAAACTCTCCATCATTTTTTGCCGTAAATGAAATTCATACACATAATTCCAAAGAAAAGCCACAAAATCAAGAGATCTAAACTATTACCTCTCTCGTCAACCACGTCAAGAGAGCAGTGGACAATGTGATGAAGCTTAAGCGCATCATCCGACTCCGTAAAGCTCTGTAGGTACAAAGGATTGTTCTGCCACCACAATAAAATTCAATTATCTATTATTCAGATTCTTATGCACATATCTAAATTAATTATTACAATAATCTGGTGTACAAAGGAGGATTCTTCTGCAACCACAAGAAATTCCCAAAAAAATGTTCAAATTCTTATATACACATCTAAACGAAATTATTAGAGCTTTGTTATATACGAAGGATTGTTGTGCCACCAAGAGATATTCAATAAAAAATATTCAACCTCTTTTATACAGATCTAAATAAAATTATGATAATTATTACAAAAGCTCTGTATGTTAAAAGGATTGTTCTACCACCCCGAGAAATTCAATAAAAATCATTCAAATTCTTATATACACATCTAAATGCAATTACTAAAAATTAAGAGTGATTATTGATACACAGAAATGGAGGGCGGAGCACCTGGTGGCCAACGACTGCGATGCAGACGATCATCTTCTCGTGCAAACGGAGACGACGACGGGGGTGGGATTGATTAACTATGGTTGAGCACTGAGGCTACAGTTGGGTTTAAAATAGGGAAATTTGCACTATTGGTCCCGTATGATTGTGCTGGTAGCATGTTAGACCTCAATCTTTAAAATAAAGCAAGTTAATCACCAACCTTTTTATTGCAGTTGTGTCTCCTTATGGAATGATTGGATTGAGGCAAATGTGATGTAAATTGAACTTGACAGCCCCCCTCATAAGAGGGGGCCTGCGATTTTTTTATTGGGCGTGGGCCCCCTCAACCCCATGTTAAAAAAAAATATTTATAAAATGAGGAAATGTTTAGCTTATATGTTGGATCGTTCGATTTCAATGACAATTATCTTTTGATTTTTGTGAAAAAGGTTTGAAATTTCTTAAAAATTTTTATATTGAAATTTTTAGTTATTGGAGAATATCTACAAGAGTGACATTTGTTTGTCTATCATGTGAATACGAAAACCCCTCTCTATTTTTAGATTTTGAATTTCACAATCAGATGAATAGAATAAAGATTCAAATCTTAATTTTCATTAGTTTTGAAATTCTATCTTGTCTTCATCATGAGTAATTTTCCATGGCTAACAATAATTTCAACTTTGCATACAAATGCGTTTTTCAATTCGCTTTTTCCCTCATAGAGAAAATAAGCAATGTAGTATACTATATTTATCTACTTATTGGAACTCCTAATGACCTATGCATTTTGTGATAATTCCCAATCCACTAATCTAACTAGTGGAGGATTATAAATGAATGGAATTTATTTTAATTTTTATTATTTTTTTAAGTTTCCATTGGAAATTAGGAATAGATGGCCTTTCTATAGGACCTTCTTAATTTCTCAAAACTCAAAGATAGTTGAGTCCATAAGGAACTAATAGACTGTTATTTTTAAACTTTAATAAAATAAATAAAAATTCAGGGTCAAAACTAAAAGAGGCCATAACGCATTGAGGCGCTAGACCAAAAGAAAGCTAACTAGGAAAACATTCTAATCTACCTTAGTAACTGAATTGCAAACAAAAACAAAAGATGAGGAAACCATTCCTCGCTTAGAAATGGATTCACCTACCACGATTGTAGACAGATCGATTAGTTGACGAGGTAAGGTATTACTTGCTTGTTTATGTCTTGCATTTTAATTTGATTTTGATTTGGTTGTCATATGATGAGATATGAAATGTCGTGATTTATATCCATTTATTCTTGTATTTTTATGACTAATTAACACCTAAATATGCCAAGTACACTTATATTGTGATTTATGTTGCATTTGGATGATCATGACATAAAATAGAAGGAAAGAACGGAAAAGGATCCAAACGAAAGAAATCAAAAGTTCAAGGAATAAAATGTAAATATCCAAAAGTTGAATCGAAAGGCAAAACGAAGGAGTGAAAGATTTAAAGGTCAATTGATGGAAGACTTAAAGTGTCGAAAGAAGGAAAACAAGAAAAAGAGGCCAAAAAAATAGAAGATGAAAGCTCAGGGACCAAGTTACAAATAATCTCTAGATGAGACGAGCAATGGGATGAAGATTCAAGAGTGTTAGAAGTTAAGTGGATGAAGAAAGAAGTCAAATGAATGAAATACAATCAAAGTATAATCACACATAAATTTCCAATCGAAAAGGTTATGTACCGATTTTCAGCATCATAGTAGGTGACATGGTAAACGATTGAATTGGAAGATGACATTAAAGAAACGTTGTAGCCCTTTGAGTTAATTTTTCAACGCACTTTAAATCACCTCAATCGAATATCGAAAAAGAAAGTTATGATTAAAATATCGAAAGCTGTCCGGTGGAAAATTAGTTGTTCTATGCGGTCGCATAGTTCAAAACCAATGAGGTCACATTTTGACCTTCAGATAACTTTTGGGCTGCAAATCATTGTTCTATGCAACCGCAACACTTATAACTATGCGGTCGCATAGTTCATTTCCGACACTTGATTTTTAATTTCCTAATTTGAATCAAATACTTGTGGAAACAAATCTTCTACACCATATATAAGCTCCAAATCTCGTCCAAAATAGAAAGAACGCCCCCAACCCTGTTTCTCTCTCTTTGTGCTCAAGACACTGTGATGATAGGTGTGCTCGTTTGAGGCCCGTATATAAATCAAATTGTATGAGAAATTGTCTTCACTAAAGAAACTCTTTTCTACAAACAACAAATAACATCTATCCTCTAAGCAAGACAAAAGATAATCTAGTTTGTCTTGCTATTTTGTTGGTCAAGATGAAGGACACGGAAGCTTTGGGACAATTACAACTATGAGGTTCACCTGATTTTTATTGATTAATTCATACGCTTAGTATTAAATCTTCTTCTGTAATTATTTTTATGATTGTTGCGTTTGGTTTCTAGAGTGCACGCTAGTTTATTAATCTCAACAATCTATAGCTAAGTTGAATTTTAAAACTGTAATTGTTGATTGGTTTAACTTATGAAGCAACTAAGATTAATAATTTGCCGGTTGGAAATAATTAAATCTTAGGGAGAAGATTTATCTAGGTTAAATGCCAACGCTTGACTTGTGTTATTTAGTTTATTGATTTCTCTAATTTGCAAAATCATTATTAAATTAAATACTCGCACTTGTCTAGGATTGTTTGATAATGATGATTAATTAGATCGCTCGTTTCTAATTAATTAAAACTAAGGAGAAATAGTAAAATTGTTTCGAATGAGAAATTTATTTTTCACAATGAATGCTACAATTATGAATTGATGATTATTTGTGGATCAATGACCGATTATTAATTTTCAATGGTGGATGTTGACTTAGATCAATGTTCGTTTTATTACTTATATTTAATTCGGTGATTTGTATTATTTCAAGAAAACCAAACTCCCCCTACATTTTAGTTAATATTGCATCAAAAAATAAATTAATCACTTTTCGTGGGATCGACCCTTACTTCTACTACTACATTAATTTTAATAAGTATTAATATAGTGCTTACGACAGCACGCACCAAAATTTGTTGGCATATTTCTTTTTTATTTTATTTTCTCTCGAGATGTTTCATATGATAGTAATGGTACATAACATCCTTACTAGGTTCTATGTAAAGGGTATACGCTTCTCTTCTATGTAGGTCTTTCTTTTGCTGTTAGCAACTTAGTGATACTTCTTTTGTTTGATGACCAAGGGGGATTCTTGTTGGTTGACGAAATGGAAAAGGTGGCAACGATGGAGAAAGTTACCTAGTCTACTCCCCGTAACAAAGCATTATGTTGTAATGTGACTCAAATTCTAGTATGTATTGGAGTTGATGTGGTTATGGACAGATCAAAATTATGGATCGAGAATAAAAGTAACCAAATTTTCGCTAACCTATAGTTAGCTGGCCGCTCGAACAGTAAGGAAACTTTTTTGGAGTAGGAAGCTGTCGCTGAGCTCTTGCTCAAGCGATAGGGCTATTGCTCACCTGCCGCTAGACGACGCTCGAGCAATAGCACCATTCGAGTTTTTCGTTTATGTCGATTTCAAGTATATTTTGACTTATTTTCCATTTTTTAGGTTACTTTTAGGGTTTTGACATATCCTCTATAAATAGTAGACTCTTCATTTAGTTTATGTATTGCAAAGATTGATATAATTGTATTTTTTCTCCATTGGTTGTGAATTAATAAAATTACTCGATTCTTCAATTAATTTCTCCTATTGCTTTAATCTTGTTCTTGCTTATGCGATCAATACTTCATATTGTATCATATAACCTCATATTTCATAGCAAGTGATATCAGAGCTATTATACTTTTAATGAAATAGTTTCAGATCTGGTTTGAATTATAACAAGTGGTATCAGAGCACGATTGTGATTTTGTTTGAGGTTTCTATTATGATGACAACTATGAAATATGAAATTATGCTTTTGGATCGCAATATAATATTTTTGTAGTAGAAAGTGAAGATGTGAGATGTATTAGCACAAAATGGATTTGAATAATGCGTTGTTGAAATTTGATAAGATGCCACAACTTGGACAACAGAGGAGAAACAATGGAAGGATCGGAAGGCGCTTTCACATATTCATCTTCATTTATCTAACAATATTTTTCAGGACGTTTTAAAGAGAAGACAGCTACTGCATTTTAGTTGAAATTGGAGTAATTGTGCATAACCAAAAGTACGACAAGAAAGTTTTGCATCTAAGTATTGTCAAGGTAGCTTGTATTGGCAGCGTTTGATTGAAATTATTAGATGGAACAATTAGAAAACTTGGCGGTTCGGCATGTTTTGGATTTGAAAAAGAATCACATCTCACTAAGTATCCTTGATTCGAAGGGCTATAAGTTCTTTGGAGAAGATAGAGTGTTGAAGGTCTGAAAGGTGTCCGTGTGGTACTAGAAGGGAGGAAGAAATCAAAGTTGTACATCTTGCAAGGTTGAGCAGAATCGAAGAAGAATCATTAGCCCAGGTTTAGTATCGTGGTGAATATACAATTTGGTACAGTACCTTTAGGAGTTGGCTTTGGGTCATTACTGAAGAACACTACTCGGATAAGTTTGGAGGATATGAGTAATTTTGCTTTGCCGCCATTGTCTGCGGTGTCATCGTGTTCCATTGCTAGGTAAGGATCCATCGAGGATAAGTACGAGGGTGCTGATCTGGTTGCTTATGTTTGTTGTGGTTTTGAAGGAGTCGAGACTAGCAATGAACCTTTAGTTAAAGCATTTGGAGTTAATTCTACTACAGGTTGTGCTTCGACCCTATTTGGTAAATCTTGAATTACTTTTGGGAATTTTAGGATCCCAGTGTTTGGGATCATTTGTGGATACTATGGAAAAGGAAGAGTAATTTTTCGTGAGGTGGTGAAGTTTGGTTCTAGTTGAATAGTTCAATCTATTTCGTTGCAATCGAACTTATATTTCCAGGTGGAGAAATTTTAGAGCAATACTCACTACACCGAAATTTGTCAGTGGAGATTTGTTGTAAGGTGACCCAAATTTTAGTAAGTATTGGAGTCCTATTTGAAGTGACCCAAATTCTAACTAGCCGCTCGAGCAGTAGAAAACT